CCGCCATATTGGCGGCTCGATATAACACGTACTAATAATAAGTTCAGATTGGATACGGTAGGCATCGCAGTTGACGCGCCGATTTTATCTTCGTTGAATATCGCTATTACGAACGTGTCGTAAACAACGCAGTGATCATGTCATAACTGTTGACAATCATACTTAACTATATGCGAGAGAAGCCGGGAAACTTTTATCGTTTATACGTATTGATAGTATATGTTGTTTTCTTTTTGATCTTATATACCAGCGGATGAAGCGTGACCGATTTTTAAATTCGAACGACGAATGTATAATCGATGTCGCATCAACGGTAATCAAGTAAAAATAAACTTAACGTTATTTTTACTTGTACAGTTAACGTTAACACACCGTTGAAAGTTTATTCAGAATTTGTTCAATCGGCCTTATTATCATGCAACGCATCGTTAGCAATTTTAAAAGCTAATGGACATTTCCCGATAACGCGGAATGAAACGGTACGATCTATGATCGCGGGACCGTTTAATCTTTTTCAGTGATCGAAAATTTCGTACACGTAAAAAATACATGTGAGCTGTTTACCAAAACGGATTATGTCGTATTTAAATGTTGACAAATATCTGTTTATGTCAAGATAAATCCTTGTTGCTGACTTTGTGACAATTTGCATTGTTAATAACAATGTCTGTAAGTATAGTAACATCGAATTAATTATGATAGTTGTGATATTGTTAATTAGTTACACGCGATATTTATATTGTATAATGATAAAAGAAAGTCAATAACTTTACTTACAGATTGGAAATGAACAATTCATTAGATCCAGATTTTGAAGAATTTAAATTTTCTGATCAGAGCAAAATTTGGAAGGACGATGCACTGGACGATATACAAAGATTTGGTATGTTCTTTCATGAAATATTGAATACAGCGTGATAAACAAACTATATTATAAAAATTAGGCGACATAACATCCTTAACCGATAGTATTAACGTTTAATTTGATACTTGCGTGCTATACTTTCAAAACTTAACATTCTATTCTTATTCGAGCAGAGATATAGCCTGTCTTAAAAGTACCAACACGTTTTATTTAAAGCATTAAAAAAAACTAAAATGTTTTTTCTTCTTTTTTTTTTTTATATCTTTGTATACCTGTCCTTTAAACATTTTTGCTCAAATTTTATAACTTTCGGAATGACTATTAGATGTCACAACTAAAAAACAGATAATTGTTTATAGGAACAGAATAATCGTTACAGAAATGAATTGAAGACAATTTAAAAAATAATTTATTATACGAGTTTATGTTTTTAATGTAAATTACTTAATTTAAAAATATTAAATCTTAATGTACATTTGCACAAATTTTATGCCCATTTAAAAAATGTAAATAACATTAAGGTTAACGTTTCTTCGAATTCCCGAGAAAAGGTTAGGATTTCTTCGACAGTTAATTATACAAAAGTGACATTATTAAATACATAAATTCGTCGATACTCAATGAACATAACGTAATTTATATTTTGATTTAATTTCAATGAAACATAAACTGACATGTCATTTTTACCATTGATAAAATGACAAAATACTTTACCGTATTGTAAAAAGATGTCTTTTCATTTTCAATATTTTTCTCCAATCGATTGATAAATTGTTCACTAATTTCGTCCATGAATCTAACTTACATAAATTAATATAATTTCTAACACCAGACAACAAAATAAGTTACCGTATCTGTAATGCGATGTAATTACGGGAAATTTATTTCTATATGAGCTACGGTATCAAGCATGGTAGGCTTCCCTAGGGAAAATGTCGATGTAGGGAAATGAAACCTCACTACTCGCTATAATAATCGAAAATTACCATACATTATGCTTAGTTTACACATATTCTTTATTCGAGCAATACGAATAGAGCATTGAAATATCAAAATTTCAAATCGTAATTTTATCGTTGTGTATATAATTAGGATTCTCGAATAATTGAATTTCGAATTAGAATTTTATCGGCATTCCAATATTAAAATATCGTTTTAAAAATATAATTTTACATTATTTAATACTAATTTTGAAAATATTAAGGTTAATTTACAAAATGACAGTTATAATTGTTAGTCGACAAATATTATGGGATTTAGTATTTAGTTAAATCATCTTAATAACGAGATAAATATCGAGTAAAAATATTACCGTACGAGTGGTGGGACCTTTCTTCTCTATATCGTAATTTTCTTCTAGAGGAGCCTATCGTATTTTGCGGTGTACATTATGGCGGGAACTTGCGCTAATATGAATTGAACCAATGATATTCATTCTTTAGGTAGTATCGATTGGAGAGTCCCGTTTTCAATTCTCGGCAAAAGCAAAGGCAATTATCTTGCTTACGCTAGGTTGTCTACTGCTTGCAACCATTTTGCGTGAACACTTGCTGTTGCTGCATATACATCGGCATCGATTGTTTACATCCGTTGTAACACGGGAAACGCGCGTTCGTGTACCGAGTAAACGAGAGCGAACCTTCGAAATAAAGAAGCGTATATGGATATAATCAATGTGTAACTTTGACAAACTGTAACGAGCATCGACACTAATTTAGTCCATTTGACAGAAGACACGAAAGCGCGGCAAATTAACGAGTCAACAACTTTTTCGAGGTTTTTATTCGAAAAGGTGGTTAGATGCTTTAACTTTGTGTTAGTTATCTGTTTTTGAGCGCTACATAAATATTGTTTTCTTAATGCGACGATGTTAATACTTTGAACGATGTGAATGTGTTGTAATTACTGGGATATTTGATTTCAGGTGAACATATAGATGATCAAAATTCAATTTTTTCTTTACAATTTCCATTGTTAAATTGCGAAATTTGTAGTAAACAGTTTATATCAAAAAAACAGTTACGTATTCACATATATACACACTTAGGAAGACCACGTATAGTTTTGAAAAGAATTGCAAATCTGAAAAGTGTTAAAAGAAAATATAGTAATACGTATTGGCTAGATCCAGGGAAAAAGGGTTCTTTGAAACTGACATTAAAAAAACAAACATTTTGCGATTCACTGAAACTTACGCTTAAAAAATCATCCGAATCTGAAGATTTTGCCGTTGTAAACACCAACATTAATCTGGGTACAGAAAATCATTGTCGGGAAGACGTGGCTGGGACTGAGGACGATGATCAAACGCGCGATAAAAATACAGAAAATTCAATTAATCGGTCATTCGAAAACGTGATGGTAGAGCAACAGGTATGTTCTAATAGTAAACATAACAAAAATTATGCAGCACAGTTTTATAAAAAAATGTTATCCTTAGGACGAATATGGGAACGTTAAGTTTAATACCCACGATCATAATCTATTGGAAGAAAATGATAGACCATCCATAGATATAAACGAGGGTGATTCGGGCGTAGGGAGTGATATGGCAAATCCATCCGAGAAAGAAGATCAAAATGTCGATGATCTTCAAAACACGGATCAATATGAGAATTCGGATAAAAGACTTTCTGAAACGGAAGATCACGAGGAATCGGATGCATTGGAGGCGACATGTCGTGAAACAATTGAAAACCTGAAAAAGCTTGGCGAACAATCTGGGTAATATCGCGTATTCGAGCACTCTTCATGGAGGAGATATCATTTGCTATGATTTGTCGTTTAATATTTCAGATCTAGGTCTATGAGTCAATTAATCGATAACTCAAATATCGAAGAGGACGATGACAGGCACGAAACGAATATGACACACGATTTAGAAGAAAATCCAGCTATTAATATTATTTCAAAGTCTTCTACGTTCTCCAATCATTCGACGAATTGTGGCGATAGCGAGGATAAAGGTGAAGAAACAGCGGAAAGCACGGCAGGTTTCAGTTGGAACCAGTTATCTACTAATTTGGCGAATAAAACTAACGAGGTTCCTAAAGAAAACGATGAACAGTCCGATCATGGCGGTGAGAGTAATATCGAGAATGCTGGATCTCTTTTACAGAACTTGATCGATCATCAAAGGCATAACCAAAATGAAACGTTATCGAATAATTTACCGTCTGAAACTGAATATGTTTCACTCGAGAAGTTAGCCGAGACTGTTAGCACGTGTCGCGTCTGCAACGAGAAATTCAAAGATATAGCTCATCTGGATGAGCATCGCAGCAAAGCTGGACATTATCAGTGCAATATTTCGGAATGTATTAATTTAATTTTTCACTCACCGTTAGAAGTGTCAATGCATAAAGCTCAAATCCATGGAACTCCTCTTTCACCGAGCGTGAGCCAATTGTCTCCACATTTGAATCCGAGTTCACCGCATTTGAATCAGAATTCACCCCATTTAAGTCAAACGTCTCCGCAATTGAATACGCATTCGCCTCATGCAACCTCTATGGAATCTCCAAATACGCCGAATTCACAGCAACTAAACAGAATTTCTCCATTAAATTCTCCTCATCAAACAAATTCGCCTACGTATAACGCAGTAGCTAATACTGGACAGCAGATACTACCGCCCGTTAATTTCGAGCAGTTACCTGCACCGGTACAACAGCTGGCTCAACAAGTGCAACGTATGCCACTCCCGCAAACGCAAATGCCTCCAAGTCTTCCACCAGGTGCTAATACAATGATCCCTGGCCCAAATTACTTTGTACAGCCACCAGGAAGACCTCCGCTATATAGGGTACCTGGTCCGCAGAGCATGCATTATCCTCCTCATATAGCACATCTGTATTCGCAGTATGGGCCAGGCCCATACCCGCAAATGACTGCACCGCCGCAAATGCATCCTCAATTGTCTCAACAAATTTCACGTGGAAGGTATCCTACCGTTGCACAAAGTAGTCGGCAAGTACTATTGATGAAATAAACACGAACATGTACTTACATATTGTTACTATACATATAAAAGTATATCATTACAATGATAAAGAATTGTCTAGAAAAAGCATTAAACAGTTTAATTTGCATTTATGTATTTGTAGGGCACCGCGGATTCCACAAAATGGATCTACTCCGCGGCAACGTATGAAACGTCCTTTACAACAAACGGTACAAGCGCAACAACAGAATAATTCTGCGATAAAACAGCGACGAATGGATGTTTTGTTACCAGACAGGAACGAAGACGCGGATTGTCACGTTATCGCTCAGCAAAAACGAAACGACGGTTTACCTGTTATACAAAATGTCCAAGGTGCTACCACTCAACAGTCTAGAAACGATTCTACTATACATCTGACGGATTCTATAACGCTCAGTGTTCGGCAACCAGGTACATTTCAATGTTCGCTCGAACATATTTTAATCAACGATGTAACTTATTATCGTTTCTTTGTTCGGGTTAAATACCTCTTCTAAGAATTAGTATCGATTTCGTATCGTGAATAAGAAAAATAAAATATAACTGTGAGCGGAAGAGTTGCAGATCGCAGAAATAAAAAGAAACATATTTTACTAATCTAAAGGTTCCGCTCCAGCTCAAGTGCAGAATACATCAGGTCCCGGTAGCAAGAAGTCTGATGCAAAGGCTGTGGCCAATGTACTAGCAGCCAGAGGTATTACTGTTACTCCAGCAGCAAATAAAAATAAATCAAGCGAACAAAACAAACAGCAGATACCTTCCCAGCCACAGAAGACTACACCTTCACAGCAGCCTTTAAATTTTACAGCGCTCACTCTGAATTCTGCTATTTCTATCATACCAGCTCATTCACAAAAAAAGCAGCCGGAACAGGGTCAGTTTGCTGTTCCCCAGAACAAACAGAATAAGACGGCCGTGAACGAAGTGGAAAGACCACCGAGACCACCTACCGTAGATTTAACGCAAGATGGCCCACCGCAAATGCCAGTAGTCAGGCGTGGTAGACCTCCACGGTAAAATATCTGCACAGTTAAATAATTGGCATTGCTCTAATATGGATTTATCGATAACAAAGATATCTTTAACCGTTGCAGAGCACTTCTTACTTGTCAGGTATGTGACAAAAGTTTTCAGAATCAAGAAATGTTAACGCAACACATGGCTACGCACCGTGCGCCTAGTAAACTGCTTCATAAGTGAGTAAATTTAAAAATATATTTCACACGATTATCCAAATAATAACGTATCGAATAATCTTTCTCATCAGATGTAATCTCTGTCCTGCCCAATATCCGACAGCTCAAGCGCTGTTGACGCATAAACAGGCGTATCATAAGGAAGTTGATACCGTAGCACAAAATGGTGGTGCAGAATTAGCGTTGCCGGTTGTAGATCTAAAATCTCCTCATGTGTTGAACAGATTATCAAATCTTGGTATACAGAGCTATATTCCGCTGTCGCAGCTTAGCGCTCAGACCGGCGGATATTTTGGTTTACCGATTATCACGATAGACGGTGCACGAAATCCTAATACTTGTAATTTAGGTGCACTTGGTGCTACATCTATTTTAAGTCTAGGCCCTCTTAAACACTTGTCAAACAGGTAACTGTGGACAATTTTACGTTTAGTCTATGTTTTTCTACTTTTTTTTACCCTAGTAATGAGTATCTTCGTACTTTTCATCGGTAGCGATCGCTTATCACGAGTATTACTGTTGTTGTCTATCTACGATAACCGATTATTCTTTTCTCTCTTCTTTTTTCGCTTTTTCGCTTTTTCGCTTTTTCTTTTCTATTTTCTGAATTGGCAAGCAACCGTAAATGGAATTTTTAATAATTCGCTCTTTGCACACTGACTCAAAGTAAATTCAACAGTTTTGTTTCTCCGTTACTTCGAACGTTTTTCTAGTTAATTCGTGTCGTAATTATTATTAGTTTATGTAATCCTAAAGCAATACAGTATTTCTAATAAGGATTGAAAAGGTGTTCGTGTTAATTTTAGAAATAATACAGAACAAGATTTAAAATACATAATCACTATGAGAAAATAGGATATCTGTATATGTCATGTATTATGAGAAAAAGTTTTTAATACGCTACTTAAAAATTGCGTGCAAATCGACGTCTCTATTAGTATATTTTTTTTAATAAAACCATCGGATAACAACTTATCTTCGAGAGTAAATATGCCGTACAGGTAAACTATGGTTCCAGGATATAGTGCCACGTTTTCATCGGCATAAAAGAGAAATCATATTATTATGTGTAACGTTTCAACTACGAAGTTGTATTAGGATTCTTATACGTGAGAATAGAAAAGAAAAAAGTTCGTTAAGCTTTTAAATTTTCAACGAATCGTATTGATTTTACTACGCGAAAATAAGTATTCTTTTAAATGAATATTAGAGAATAATGTCGCGTGAATTTGTATCATTTGAATCGCGTCGTGGTGCACTTTTTTTTTCAAATCTGATATACGGGGAACATGAATGTATGCGCTATGAAAATTACCGCTAATGTACCTAATCAGTAGATTCGTTTCGATTCAGAAGTACGATGTACGTTGGATACTTCAAAGAATTCCCCCAGATAGTAAGTGACTGTATAAGAAATACGTCATGTTGTTGAACCACGTCCGTTTTTTCAACGAGTTTATTACACGGAAAAGCGTGCAGAGTTAATACGATAAAAGCTACGAGAATTCATTATTTTTCTGTCGAACAATTTTATTTCACGGTTAGCAGATTATTACGACACGTGGCCGGTTGTAAATATATTTTGTAAAAAGAAAGGATTACAACTAAAAAAAGCATACGCTCGTTTATACGTGAAATCTTTATGAAGATACTAATAATTATGTAAGATTTAAATAGCCAACATTGAGTATAGTTCTTATATCACACGCAATTTTTTTATTTATTACCATTCCTGTTGAACATTGTTCTATGTAAATAATTATCATTCTTTGTGTACTGTCTATACTTTAAGTAAGCAATCCGTTCCGTTTAAATTATAAAAGGCGATAACGGTTACTAAAGACACAAGAACTGACTTAAAAAAATAACGATATTGTATATATTTGTATGATAATAAAAGAATGAAGTATATGATAATTTCAATTATATCTAGTTGCATAACAGCAGGGCATTACATTCTTAGTTCGTAACTGATGCTTAAAAGTTAAAGAAATTTCATTTTTCAAGTATTTTATTATGTTCTGAAATTTTGTTTATTAACCTTTTATTCTCGAGAGAATAAGTTGTATAATTTTAAGCGAAATAAAAGTATGTTTAAGTAACAATCAGTTTGTTGTCATTAGTCGAATAGCGTTTAATTGAATTATGTGGAATTAAAAACCATGCCGACGTTACCGAAAACATCATTTTTTATTTTTTATAATTGTCGAAAAGTACTTGTATTCCGCAAACCTCGTTCCTATTTGGTTCATAAAACTTATCTTTTCTATCACGGTGCTACTATCGGTCTAATCGGTCTAATGATTAATTACGAAACGATCGAAAGAGAGAATCGCGGTTTTCTGTCAAATTAGTGTTCTCGTTGCTTCGTTGATACTTGGAAATTTTTATACGGGCACGATGAAGTCTGAAAAATTAGTTTGCAATGAACTCAAAGCTTTACATTCTACAATTTAAAGTATTGTACTTTATGGCCCTTAAAATGTTTTGCCATCTAACGGTAGAAGGTGGAACATAACGGAACTAAATATGAAATACTTTATCTCAACAAATGTTAATTCTCTCGACTTATTACGTTATTGCGTATTATAAATTGCAACATGAAATTATACCCAGAAGAACATAAATATTGCTAATTTTTACGAAAATTACCAAATTTTATTTCGTTAATTCCATCGTCCATCACTAGATGACTAAGGATTTCGAGGTTCACATAATACAATTTTTTTACATTTTCAAATATGATGTTTCAAACTTAATGTAAAGCTATTTTTCTCACTATTCCCAGCTTATATTAATTATCAGCGGACATCGACAATTTCGTTTTAGTCGATGAAAAAAACGCAGTTTTTTAATTTCGTCAATTTCGAGTTCGACCGTTAGATGGCTTTAGCGGTACTATTCTCAGATAGCGCGCGTAAAAATATAAATTTCAAAATTCATATATTTTCAAGTTTTTTTAGATAATATCTAGACGATAAATTATGCTTTGTTACATATTAAATTGTTTCGATACTTTCGTTATGAATTATAAACTTGAATATAAAATTCAATTAAAAGGTACCGTCAGTCAACGTTGCGACGTAGTTCGAAGAATCAGCTTTCACAAGCGAAAAGTGCGCAATAGAATAGTTTATTTTTTAAGGCAAGCATATATTTGCGAAAATTTGATTATTTATCGTTGTCGAAAATGTTTATCACGAAGTAGTCATATCGAGCGGTAACGCGCGATATTAATGAGGGTGGTGGGGATCGCCATCCCTTGCTGCCATTTTCCTCAGGAAAGAAAGATTTGCATTCATGCCGTAGTCACTGATTCGTATATATTTACGTGCATGTCACGTAATTATAGATGCTGTGCGATTCGATGGATTCTATTTGTGATTGTAAGCATAATTCGCGAGAGTTGTTTACGTATACATCAATTTATTTTGTGTAGTTTGTAATATTTTAATTTTATTTTTTACACAAATGTTCCAGTAATCATCATGTTTATTAGGAATTAATCGTTTTCAAGTATTTGTATAACTTGTAATCTTTATGATTCTTTCCGTTTATCAGTTTTATTATAATATCAGTTGTGCTCGTTCTGAAATTGTTTCGCAAAATGGTACATTTGTTTCTCTTGCAGATATTTCAATGGTATCGAATTTGAAAATATCGATATGAGTGCTACTTTAAGCTCAAGAGCCGAACAGTATTTTTATAGTATAAATCCTTTGGCCCAAAGAATCGGTGAAGATATAACTGCAACGAAAGAAGCCTACGAGGGTTTATGGAACACGTTAAGTACAGCAGAGCAGAGTCAAGCGATTAACGAAACTATAATTCAACCAGAAGTTGCCTTAAAATACGCTCTAAAGAAAACTGAACCGAACAAAGAACTGCCAGAATGGTATCCAAAGTTAAGGATTCAGACCGGGATGAAATATGTTGTCGACGAGACTGGTTCTGTAAGTATATAGGAAAATTTAAACAGCAAAGAATCAGGAATTACGTTGTCTCTTGTCTCACGAAGCTTATAGATGCTTAACAAATCGTACAGTGTAAACTAACGGCTCTTAAATATATACATAAAAGAAATTTAATAATATAATCTAATCGAATTAGAAAAACTGATTTACAATAACGATGTTATAGACATTGCGATGGAGAGACGAACATTCAGCTCCATTTTCGTTGATGACTCAATCACAAATGAATCTGAGCATAATAGATTCAAGCGAAGATGCAAAATCTAAATCGATAAGAGCCCAATTCGGGGAATCGTCGCATTTCTCGAGTCCAGCAAAATCACAAAGGAACAACTCGAGTTCTCTTAACGATAATTACACTTTGCCTCTGGCAGTTAATCGATTTCCAACCGATCGTTTCTCCAACAGTATTTTTGGAGACGAACAGTGTAGCGGCTTGTTGGAAGGCAATATCGATAACGATCATTCGGAGAGCATATTCGCTAAATTAATAAATAAGACGTCTTTATTGAAGTTGCAGACTAATCTAGCGGACGATATGGAAAGTTTGGTCAGAGAAAGAGATTCGGATACCGAGAAAAGTCAATCGAATACCTTGGTAGTAATGTCGCGTACGAAATCGAGCGATATTAACGAATCAACAGCATTGCTAGAGACACCTAGCTCTTACAGTAGCTTCCAATCTTCTCAGTTGAATCAGGAGGAAGAAGAGAGAACTATACCAAAGACTGGCTTTGAATTTCTTGATAATTGGTAGATCGGATAATTGAAATCGGATAGATTTTCTCTAAATTCTATTTACATTGAAACTGTTACTATATTTACGTAACGATAATTCTAATATTTCGTTCGAACGTACTTGTACAATTTTAGTTCCTAAACTAATAATAATTATTGATCCTATCGAAGTAGAGCAACGTCGGTACAGATAATTAGTATTTCTACGATGCCATTTACGATCCCGACGCGATTACCAGAGAGAATCGTAACGTGTAAAGCGTATACATATCGAATATAACGAGGCGACTTGTTTTGTCAAACAGAAAAGCAGAAGTTTTGTAGATGGGGTTATTAGGTACCGTTGATAAGAGATACGTGCGTACAAGCGAAAATATTAATCGGAGTATTCGTTTTTACAAATATTTAATATTTTGATAATTCTTTTATAGTTATATTTTCATTTGAAAAAAGCTCTCGCGTTTATAACCTGCCCTTCTCCTCGCATAATCATCGACCGTTACGCAGAGTATTAGAAGACTGAAGAGGCTATTTTATTTGTTTCGCGACTTTAAATCTTATATAAATTATTATTAACGTATTTTTAATAATATGAAGAATTTATTCATATGGCTTACATAAAATAATGACGATAATATTTTTGGTGCGTTGTATAACTTTAATGTATAGTTTAGAATAGTTGGTATCGTCCGCTCGTTTTTCGAAACATTGTATGTATCGGTGTGCGATGGATCGTGCTTGCGCGAATAAGAAATGTATGCCCGGTGAGTTTTATTCGAACGCGTAGTATACGTATATGTTCTATAGAGTATCGAAGCATTTCAAAGGATATTTAAACAGATTAATCGGTGTATTATGGTCGATCCGTTGAACGAGCGGGGCCGATGCCGGCTACATTTCTTCCTCGATGATTTTTCAGGTTTTACGTTGTCCAAAAGCCAGAGAGCCGAGCTGTACAATTAAAGAGCATATACATAGGTATATTGAACGAAATTGTTGTTCTCGATTAATTTATCAGCGAACCTATATATACCTTCCGTTACGGGGGATTCCATGAAAGCGATGTTCTCATCTCCACCCCCGATCCGTCCAACTTTCGAACGATTATAACAACCGAAGATAGTTTTATTCCCTCGAGCGATACAATAAAATTCATCGAGATCGGGCGTCTTTGTTAATTTGGCTTCTGATTCTTTTTCGAAGGGTGACATCGGTATCAGACGCCTTTTCGAGGATGTTCGGACTGAAACGGCAACGATTCTCCTCACGATGCTTAGAAGATAGATTTTCGACAGGTTCGAGAAACGGATCGGTCGCCTTTTCATTCGGTCGATTTTTTCGAACTTTCGTCGAGCGAGCACGCGATACGTATATTTAATGCGGGCGCAAATATATGGCAATTGGAAAGTCGACATTTTCATAAAGTGTCTACCTTAGAAAACAGAATATAACTTTCTGAAAGTTATCTCGTTTTCTCCGCGCCATTTTCTCCGCGTCGAGTCGAACTAGTTAAGTACTAACTTAAAGGGAAAAAGCATATTTACCACGTTTATCGGTATTATTAGCCGATGCACCCTTAGATGCGTTTTTCGATCCATAAGATAGTTTTCGAGACAACGCGGTGAAGCTTTTCGAGTAGACGGTCGTATCGCGCAACGTCCCTTCGGAATTATCCGATTCGCTTTTACTCGCCGTTCCTGCGACGTTCGTTTGCTTTTCTACCGAACAACCTGAAAAACAGTTCATTAATTTCGACTTGTTCGACGTAGTCGCTGTTCGTATTTCAGGGTATTCGAGGAAACGGCTACACACTCTGAAGGCTTCGATCACGAGAACGGATAGGAAATAACACAGAAAACGTACAGTTTCCTTCGAGTTACTCTGTGTTTTTTGTAAAAAAGACCAAGGAGAAAAGGGAAAAAGAAAAGATCGATAACCTCTTTCGTTTTTTACGCGAGCGTTCAGAGGACTACACCTTCGAAAACCAGAACAGTTTTGTCCATCGAAGCAGTTGGTATTTTCGAGGTTCCTCGAGGTCGTCGAATCACCGTCGAATCGTTCGCTATCCATCGAGTAATCCTCCTGCAGGTTTTCGCAACATTTGTACTGTTCCAATGCTTGACGTTCCAGTTCCTGCAACGAAATTATCCTCGAGCTATCCGTTCGATTCGAATTTCGCCTTCAGCGATCGCGAACGCGTAACGTTATACTTGTAGAGTGCGCATCGAAGAAAGACGACGAATCGTTCGAAGGTAAGTTTAAAACATCGTACTTGATATTTCAGCGCTAGAGATTCTTCCGAGGATCTGTATTGTTCCATCGCTTGTTTCTCTAATTCGTCGAACGATTCTCCTCACGATGCTTAGAAGATAGATTTTCGACAGGTTCGAGAAACGGATCGGTCGCCTTTTCATTCGGTCGATTTTTTCGAACTTTCGTCGAGCGAGCACGCGATACGTATATTTAATGCGGGCGCAAATATATGGCAATTGGAAAGTCGACATTTTCATAAAGTGTCTACCTTAGAAAACAGAATATAACTTTCTGAAAGTTATCTCGTTTTCTCCGCGCCATTTTCTCCGCGTCGAGTCGAACTAGTTAAGTACTAACTTAAAGGGAAAAAGCATATTTACCACGTTTATCGGTATTATTAGCCGATGCACCCTTAGATGCGTTTTTCGATCCATAAGATAGTTTTCGAGACAACGCGGTGAAGCTTTTCGAGTAGACGGTCGTATCGCGCAACGTCCCTTCGGAATTATCCGATTCGCTTTTACTCGCCGTTCCTGCGACGTTCGTTTGCTTTTCTACCGAACAACCTGAAAAACAGTTCATTAATTTCGACTTGTTCGACGTAGTCGCTGTTCGTATTTCAGGGTATTCGAGGAAACGGCTACACACTCTGAAGGCTTCGATCACGAGAACGGATAGGAAATAACACAGAAAACGTACAGTTTCCTTCGAGTTACTCTGTGTTTTTTGTAAAAAAGACCAAGGAGAAAAGGGAAAAAGAAAAGATCGATAACCTCTTTCGTTTTTTACGCGAGCGTTCAGAGGACTACACCTTCGAAAACCAGAACAGTTTTGTCCATCGAAGCAGTTGGTATTTTCGAGGTTCCTCGAGGTCGTCGAATCACCGTCGAATCGTTCGCTATCCATCGAGTAATCCTCCTGCAGGTTTTCGCAACATTTGTACTGTTCCAATGCTTGACGTTCCAGTTCCTGCAACGAAATTATCCTCGAGCTATCCGTTCGATTCGAATTTCGCCTTCAGCGATCGCGAACGCGTAACGTTATACTTGTAGAGTGCGCATCGAAGAAAGACGACGAATCGTTCGAAGGTAAGTTTAAAACATCGTACTTGATATTTCAGCGCTAGAGATTCTTCCGAGGATCTGTATTGTTCCATCGCTTGTTTCTCTAATTCGTCGTACCTGGTTTCACCAGTTATCGGACGTTAATCGGTTAAGGATCGAAGAAAATTATTATGCGCAGACAAATACATACATTACACGGTACACAGCCGATCGACTCGGTACCGTGGCAATCTAACGAGAGCGTATTCCGAGCATACCTCTTCTCGAATACGTTCTCGAACATGGCTTGATTCACCGACGCGTTCGTCAACACGTCTCTGTAAAGTCTTCTTCTGTTTCGAATTTCGCTTTGATCCTTCTTCTCGTTAGACGATCTTTCCGTCTTCGGACGTTCCTTATTCTCCGTCTCGTCCTTCTCTCTCCTGCTACCGGATGCTTTTCTATCGGCTTTCCCATCGACGTTCCTTCGTTCACAATTACTTTCGTCGATCATTTCGTTTCGCTTACCGCGAACAATTTTGAACTAACCATCGAAATACTTCCGACTCGGTTTTCGAAGCACGATTCCTCGTCTCGAGGATGTAAGTCGGCTTTTGGTGCGGTTCTTTCGATTGGCCACGATGAGCTTTCATAGCGTTCTTCGTTAAGAGTATCAGATTTTTGAAATCGACTCCATGGTTCTTTCTCTTCTGTCCCGTATCCCGATACAATTCCACAGGGTGTTGGTATACCGGTATCGATACAGGCTTCGGTTGCAGGAACTTCTCTCGAATCTGTGGAATAATATATTTTCGAACGAACGGTTACACCGTGTACGCGTTACGTTACGTTGTCTCGCAGCTGTACGGGATAACGAGCGACGCTGGTGGCTCGCAACGGTTGTATCGAGCTACACGACAGAGACGAGCCAGTAGAGCTCTGTATCTGTACAGGGGCTGGTATTCTTTGATACCATTGATGGGGATGTCCGATAAACATAGTCGTGTCCGTAGCTGCTACTAAAGGTACTCCCGTATTCTGAAATACATATTTCATTTTTCCAAGTACCAACGAAGCGAATGAAATCGAAGCGAAAGAATATATTAGGGTATAATAGCGAACCTGGTGAAACGCGGTTCCGACGTTCTCGCGAGTTCTGTTGTACGGGAATAACTCGTTCTGATAAGTCGTTTCGTCGAGGGACGGAAAATACTGCACTCGGTTAGCATTCTGTTCCCTGTTGTCGTCGAATCGCATCGTAGCCACTTTCGGAAAGAATTCGGCCACTTCGGGACTGAGAACAGCCGGTAGGTGTTTTCTGATCGTCCCGTAATCGGAAAATTGACTCTCCGGATGCGCGGTTTGGTACTCCGTTCTCAGTACCAAAGGTCTGTACCGAAACGCGTAACAGAATTGTTGCGGACGTTCTTTGCCGCGAGAATTTTGTTCGCGGGCTTGTTGTAGCCGAGAACAGTGCTGTTGCCCGTTGCCGGGAAATTTCCATAGGTTTCGAATCGCTTCGCTGGTTACGCGAACGTGTAGCTGCATCTCCATACAATTTTCAATGGTGTAACGTCGATGCGGGTAATGCTCCTTGCCAACGTTCGATTCTTGAAAAATCGAACAGTCGTTTAATTTTCTCTTATCTAACGTACGGAACTAACGTGTACGCTTCCGATCGAACGTCCGAACATTGATATTACATCGAATATAAAATGATTCGATAGCGAATTTCCTGTATCGTGGACTTTCGACGAACAACGAGAATCTCAACGAGAATGTATACATACATACGCTGACCGAGAAAACTACCGACAACGATTATTACCGATCGAAGTTGTTCGCTGGCTCGATTCGTCGTCCGAAACGTGGGTCGATCTAAACTTGTTCCGCGTTGCTCGCAACCGGTCGTCCCATTGTGGCGCGACGATGTTCGGTACGTGGTCAGCTTCCGGTACTGTAGCCGTTGAACTTCGCGGTTTCGATCATCCACGCGTAAATGTTGGTACAAACATGACAAATGAATTTTCGTTCTTTCCCTTTAGTTTCTTTTACTCTCGAACAAAATTATCGGGGACAACGCGTTTCGAATTCGAACAAAATAAATACCAACTAACAAATGGAAATAAGAAAACTAACGATTCACGATTCGATCGCGATCCGTTCGAAGTTAACCAGCCGAAGTATTTTTGGACGTCGGGAAGCATCCACGACTCGGTAACTTCCGTCCAGCAGAAATTCGGTAAAGGAGCAGAGGTTGCGTCGTCATCCGTAGAGGATTTGTAGAGGTTTTCGCGTTCCTCGTCGTACTCGTAATTGCCGTAGCTGGCCAAACGAGACTCCGGGATAACGTCGCGAACGCGTTTCGCTCGGCGGTTGACATTTTCTTTGTACTTTGCGGCCACCTTACGATACTACCGTTACGAAACAGATCAGCTAACTAAACTTCTATCAAGATACTTATCGTCTGGCAATTATCCTTTTAAAATTACCTCGATCCACAAAGATCGATTGAATTTTTGAAAAGGATCCTCTTTGTCGAAGCTCCACGCTTTGTCCGCTATTAAACTAATGTTCGCATAGGCGCTGTTGAAAAGCTCTTCGTCGTACGACGGGAACGAAGATATCATTATCCGAACATTATAACCGGTCGAATGTATTTCGGTAACCTAAACGTTCGAATTAACGATTCGAATTAGGTAACTACGATTTAGTCGATCCTACAGTCCTATCTATTCGCGCGAATAAATATATTTATTCTCGTCTATTCGTCCTGTCAAACTACTAGCGTATTAAAGGACAATCGATAGCAGAATCGATATGTATGCGAGTCGGGGAGTCGATCGCAAAATTCTCTCGTACGGTAGCGTAGTTCGTTAGATCAGAAATGTCGCTGCTAAAATATACATAAATATAAATAAGTGTAGGTAGAATTAGAAACAACCGATAGAAATATTAGAAATAGGAGAGAAACACCAAGATGAATATTTTTTACAAATCTGTCCTTTATTACAAATACGTTCGATGATAAAGTAGATACACTCGTATCATTCATACACTTTGTACAGATCAGGCGTACGCTATTTACAACGAAGAAATTCGCACGTAATTTACACAATTTTCACGATCGTTCGCGCGATAATTATACGAATCTTGTTCGAGATATCGAAAAAAAAATAATCAGTCTGACAGTTACACTCTGTCCAACGTTTTCGATCGAGCCGTACACAAGGATGATTGTAGGAAAACGTCGCACAGGTAAAGTCGTAGTCGCGGTGACACGGCTATAACGAGGAACGCCAACAGAAAGAGTGCTTTCCCTTCAACTTTTTCTTATTCTCCTTCTCGTTCTTCTTCGTTTTAACGATTGGTTACGAGTCTACCTATTGTACGACTGTATCGAGATTATCTGGCACAGATCGTCAAGGTAGGTACATTATATACAGAATTATTAAACGTTTGCGATACAATCGTACAATAATACGGTTTCGAAGATGACGTACAGTGGCGAGCATGGTAGGCTTCCCCGGGGTAAAGGGAAAACGCCGATGAATCTAGGGAAGAGTTTAGGGAGAGCATAAGGAAAAACTAACCTAGTCGCTTAACTAACGATAAGGGAAGCCTACGTTGCACTCGAGCGTACATCGAACACGTTCAAGTTCGACGAAAAAAAAAAAAAAAAAACCTTTCCTTAAGATTTATATGAAACTCGTAGCTATTCGTATCTATTCCCGAGAACAGAGATTCGTTTTATTTACAAATTCACAGTTATCCCGACATAACGAATTAACCCGAGACGATCCATCGAGGTACCGTAGTGACCGGACGCGCGAAGTCTCTCTCTCCCTCTCTCTCGAATAAACTCGACGAAACGCGTCGAGAAAAATCAGCCTGTCATCGATCGTCTCGAGTATTCTTCTACGATTATGGCAAGAGAAGCTACAGTTTTCGTTTCGCGACGATTCGCTTATCGATTTACGCGCTTTCTTACGCGTAGTTCGACGGTTTACTCGATCGGCAATTAAAGCGTATTCGACTCGTGGTCCGTTCGTTCCGTTTACGTTGAAAAGGCACCGCGTCCTTCCGAATGTTCGTTGCCGCGCGTGTCTTTAAACGTTCCTTGCGGAGTTTCGAACGAAACGCGATGCAATGCCCCCACTATCGATCGAACATACCGCGGTCTCGGTATTTCGCTCGAGTCCGAATCGTAGAATCAATGAGCGATATGGCCCGAGCGAAGGTTCGTTCGAGTTCCATCGCGAAACGTTTCCAAGGTTTTTCGGTTTCGCTCGGCGATTCTCGGATAGCGGACGAGAACGCTAACACAGCTGGTGGTTAAATAGTCGTTTAAAATCGTGGTAAAGATTCAAACGTATTCCTCGGACGGCTTGGGTATACTAGCAGGTAGTCGAAGCGTACTCGGAACGCGATTGGCACTGTCCGGCAGTTCCGCTATGTCGATGAATACTCCGACCAGACTGTCAAAATTTAGTCCCCAGTTCAACAGGTAATCCCAGCTCAATGCCGTGGTGGTGGTCGAAGGTGATCCGCTGTTAGCGGGCCTGTACAGTCCTCCCATGTGCGTAGACAGGTCGTCGTCGGAAGCTACCAAAGTACTGAGAGATCCTCGAAAAGAACTGTCGAACCCGTCGTAATTGACGTTGGGCGGTAACGGTGGTTTATTGGTCTGCGAGGATTCGTTCGCCCGTTGATTCACCTCCTCGTCGTCCTGTTTGGCAAACGGATTGTCCGATCGTTTGTCGCCGACCAACGAGGCGTTGTCGTATTCGGAGCAGGTGAAACTGTCGTTGCCGCTCTCGTCGGTCGTCGACGAGTTCCTTCTCTCGAGCCTCTCGACCGGTGGCGTGTGTCTCCTGTGAAGATGCAGCCCACCGTGGGTGGGCGGTCCCCTAGCCTCGCTGGACGAGCTAACCGCGTCCAGGGTCGATACCAGACTAGACGTTCTCGGTCTCGAATTCAGTCTCTCGATCTCTTCCGCGGTCAGACCCATCGGTCCCGAGGAGACGTTGTTCACCGAGTTCTCGTTGTTCGATTGCGGCGCCTTTCGGCTAGCCGTCGAGCCGGACAATTGGCTCATGATCGGCGAATTCAGACTTCTCTCGCTGTTCGAGTTCAACGCGTCCTTGCCGACCCCTCCGGAGGACGAGGTGGTCGCGAGCAGCGCGCTCTGCAACGGTTTACCGCTGATGTCGTGCAGGGTCAGTATCCTCGGTTGCTGAGCGGACAGTTCGCTGCTGGGCGATAATCTGGCCAACGGGGTACTCTGCAACAGTTTCTGAGTCGGTCCAGGAGGCTGAGCGACGTTGGGCGGAGGCAGAGCTCGCGGAGGAAACGGGCCGGCGTGCCGGTGCTGTTGTCCCGCGTGTTTGTGGTGGTTCGCGTAGTTGTTGATGGGCGGCGGTGTGGCTTTGTATTTCCGCATGCCGTCTCGATAGCCCTTGTAGTGGTAGACGATGTCGATGTCGCTCGGTGCTATGGAACTGGCGTTCTCCAGGTCGTAATGTTCGGGCATGTCGGGTTCCGGGTTGTGCTCGTGCGAGTGTAACGAAGTCTGCGCCGGCGGAGGCAGCGGCGGATGTTCGTCTCGAATGGGCGGCGACTTGGTCACCTCTCTTTCGATGATGTCCGGCCTTTGCGGTCGATGTTCGCTGCTCGCGTTCATCTCGCGTTCCTTGTATTTCTTCGAGATCAATTCCGGACCCATGTGTCCCACTCCGCGCAGATCCGACGCGTCGGAAATGTAGGTGTTCTCGTGACGGGACATCAGGTTGTCGTTGCCGGTGCCGACCAGCGGATTACCGCTCATTATGGCGTTCGTGTTCTTGTTCACCACCGACGGGGCAGACTTCTCCTTGTTCTGTCGTCGCAGTCGAAACACTATGAAGCTGACCAGGATAGCGATCAATAGGATAACGAAAAACACGATCACCAGGGTGATCCCTATGCTCAGAGGATCGGCCGTAGCCGCTGCGCTGATCCCGACCAGTCCTCTGCATCCGGTGTTCACTTTACCGTGATACAATACTTCCTTGAAGATCGAACCGGATCCGTTGAACGGCTGAATCTCGTTGTTGACGGTGAAATTGGTTAAACAGCCCTCGAAAGCGCGGGCCCCGCCGCTACGGGCATAGTACAGCTCCTGGTTAACCCCACCGATCGACAACACGGACAAGTACGGATCCAGAAAATCGTGGACACCGGCCGAATCCAGTTCCTCGCCCATCTGAATACCGTCCACGAACAATCTCAAGCCTCGAAGGTACGAATGGAGCGTCAGATTGTGCCAGTGGCCGTCCGCTAAGCCTACCTCCGCGTTGCCGGACATGTTCACAGGTGATCCCAGCAACGACGCGTAAAACAGCCGACCGTTGCGAAGCTGCAACATCGTACGTTCTTTTTACACCCGTTTCTCTCTCTCTCTCTCCCTCTCTCTCTACGTACACGCGTAACAAGTATAAATACCTCGACAGACGTGAAATGCTTGTTCGTCGCCGCGTACACGAGAATACCGTCCGACTTTACCGTCCTAAACATCAGACCGATCGTTTTCGTCGGCGATGGGCTGCTTACGAAGCCGGTGTCCTCGTCGACGGCCCGTCTCGTTCGATTCTTGTGCCAGACGGTCGAGCCACCGTACAGGAATTCCAACAGTTGCATCCGTCTGTGCTTCTCTGAAACCTAAACGAAACTTTCCGTTGAAATCTTTCGTTTCCGCCGACAGATCTTAGCGACGTTTCAGCGTACCTTGAATTCGACGTAACCTCCGTCGGTGAGAGTAACGGGCTCGAGCGCGGCCTCGCAATTGGGCGCGGTTACCGGTCCGCATCGGCAAGTAACTTGATGCCACTTGTCGTAGCAGTCGGTCGCGGCTTCGCAAACGGAGACCGACTCCTTTCCGTTACCGTCCTTCGCGCACGGATTCTTCTTCGATCGGACGCACGTCGACTTGACGCCGCGAGACGCGATCGGATTCGATAAATTCAACGCCCTACCGTTTATGGAGACCGAGTGCACGCATCCCACGAAGTCGTCCGAGTGCACTTGTCCCGGTCTTTCCAATACCGGGTCCGCGTTTTCCAGACCTCCCACCAGCAGTGGGTTGTTATTGAAATTCAGAGTTCTGCGAAACCGAATCGTTTATTATCGTCGGAGTCTCTGAACGCCGGTAATCGTTCGTTGATCTAACTACTAACTAACCCGGTTGGTCCTACGTCGTCCGCGTAACAAGTGCCGTCGCCTGGTCTGCAATCGTCGCAGATATCGCCGTGTTCCCTGCACACGGACACGCTCAACGACACCACTCTTCCGTTCCTGGTCGCCGTCACTTTCCTCCATTCTCCGTCGGATACCGATCGTTCGGTTTTTATGCTGATCGAGGTGATGGCGCTTCGCGCGCCACCGTAAGAGAACACCACCCTTCCGTTTACCAATTCCAACACCACGAAATCCGAACGTCCTCCGGTTTGCGGAGCGTAATTGTACAGCAAGAGAGCGTCGGGCTTCGTGGTCGCGAATACGATCGTTATATCGTTCGTGTTCGAATCGAGTGCCGGGAAAGCCATGTAGGATAATTCTTCGAATCCGAAGGTAGATCGTTCGCAGTGTCTCC